GAGCTTCCTGCCCAACTGTCGTCTGTAAATATTACTGGTGTTTTCACTCTACATCAATGGCCCTGCTCCATTCTAAAAGCATATCGTTATGGTTTTCTTCAGCCGCAAATGCTTTCGGCCATCCGTAAAGGGACCGGTGTTATTATCCCGTGCAATATGCACTATTTAATTGACTTGCCCTCAACTTACAGAAAATCACAAATTTTGCGGTTTCTCCACCTCTCTTTCATCTACTCCTATGAATCAGTACTAATGGGAGTCTCTACGGTTAATGGAGCCCCCCCTCATATTTTTGAAGTTGACATGAACGCACCAAAGGATCTGTCAATTTATCGCATTAGCCTCCGGCCTCTCTTGTTACCAACTTCTGTACAGAATTCGCCAAGAAACTTCGTTTATGGCCAGTTTGCATTTTCTCCTTGCCCTCAAATACCTGAGGGACTAAACGATTTTGCCCTATGTTTGGCTGTATGGCACACGCAAAAACAACAGGAGACTCCTCACAAACAGTGTCTCCGCCATAGTGAGTGCCCCTTTGTTCTCTCCGCTTGTGTCTGTGCTTTGGCTAGCCAATTCAACCGAATCACTGCGTGGAATGTAACCTTAGCTCATTACGCTGCGGTTGTGGACTCCTTGGAACAGGAAATCTCTCCAGTAGATGCCGGTTCAGACCAATATTCTGACAAAGAAATCCTGCACTCGGTCGCTGAGCTCCAAGATGTATATGCAGAACTGGTTTCTTTGTTGAATTTCGTGAAAGCCGTCTCTCTGGAAACTTCAAGTGAACCGAAGGAATTCCCCTCTTCCTTTAAATGCTATCCGGAGCACTGGGTTTTCCCGTCGAATAGGTTGTTCTTTTGGATTGTTAAGTCTCTTCATCAGTTGCCCACCGAGTCCCGCGCTCAAACAGCCATACGCTCGCGTCTGCCAAGACTTTTTGTACCGTCGAATGGTCCAGATATATCGGAATCGTGCGTGGCTACAATATCGGATCTTTCTTTCCTGCTTCAGCTTCTCAACTCTACCAATATTGTTTTGCCAGAAATCAGTTGTACCTCGGTCCCAGCAAACCTCAGAAACATGCAGAAGGACTCTACTATGTTGTTATCCGAGAAGCAAGCCCTTGAAACCCTTGCAAACGTGTCGAGTTCGTCGTTTATCGAAGACATGCCACGCAAGATGAACGAAGGCGCAGACTCCGTTGGAACCACCAGCTTTCCCTCTTTCCGATCCAGGTGTGAAGCTACTGGAGGATTCCTTCTGACGAGCGATTCTGCGGATGACAGCGTAGGAAATCCTCAGTGGACTCGGCAGTCGGTTGGCAAAGTACCCGCTTCAAGTTGTCCGCAAAATGACTTTCCATTACCTGGCGGCGACACTACACGAAATGCTGATTTTCATACGTTCAGAGAAAGTCCTAGTGATTCATCTCTTTCCAGGTGGTCACGTGGGGCAACTACTTCGAAATTTGCCGGGAGTCGTAATAAGGTTCCCAATCAAACGAATGGGTGGAGTGCTGGTGATTTTTCAGGTAGAGGTGCTTCCTATTCACTAGAAAACACTGACACCAATGGCTCTTCTACTAATTTCAATTGGGAATCTAAGCCTGTCGGTGCACTTGCAGATACTGATTACATCAGTTCTGACTTCTCTAAGGCGTCTCAAGAGTGGATTCGCGCTCCTCAGGAAACCGATCAGTCATATGCCCCAGACCGTCAGTGGAAGGAATATGGTCCTCCTTCTGGTTCGGCCCGCCGCCCAGCTGTCATTGGGGGTGAATCATGTGAGGTGCCACCTGCCGACGACTACAACAACTGGAATCATTCATCCTATGACGCGAGTGAGGGCCGCCCATCCTACGGACCTCCAAAGCACTCTGCACAGAGTGCGGGCTCCCGTGGATATCCAGAGCCTCTAGAAGGGGAAGGATACTTTCAGCGCTCTTATTCTGTTGGAAAT